CTCTTCTTTCTGGAATCCGCTTGGAAAGCTCCCACGAGCGACATCGCTGCCATGGCAAGCTACTTCCCATGGCCACGTGCATTCGCAACACGGCAGCGAACTCCAGTCATAGAAGTGGACTGAGCGACAAAACGCAACCAAACATGGTGAGTGGTTCGACAATGAGGTATTGCAACGAAACGACCGGAAGAACCGTGTGACTTCCTTAGGTGATCGGATACCATAGCCCGATATGAGAATGTTCAGTAGCAGGAGCTGCGACAGAAGTAACAGGAAGGAAGAAAGCACGAGCTAGCGAGCAGAAGAACACCGGCAGCAGCGTAAAGCACATGTGGTACAGAGGCATCATATGCTGAGAGGAGTACCATTCGTGGCGGCAGTTCTAGTGAAACGCAATGAATGGCCTTGGTCAACAGTGCTTACGCGTCAGCTCTACGGCACCCTAGTGATCACAGCTATTCCAACATCGCCCCACAGTAACAGTTCCTTGGAATGCGGTCGCAGCGTAGGTCCTACATTGTTCATAAAGATGGCCGATTTCTGGACCGGACTTTTGGTGAGATGGCGGGTTCTCGACTGGTTGTGCTTTTGATGACACGATCACTTTTGCCGTAGAGCAGCTTGAGTGATATGCATTTCCACATGGGCTTCTAAGAAGACTGTAACCAAATTGCCATAGATGGATACGGTACTTTTCAATCGCACGGTTGAGGGTCGTGAGAGTGTAGAACGACAACACCATGCGTCCGAGCGTCAGAAAGTGTCAACTTCCAGCATCCTCACCCATCATGCAACTGATTTCCCTTTCTGAGCACAAAACATGAGGAACTGCGGTCACATCCGTCATGACTTCTCCGAATGATGAACGAGCAGAAGTCCTTGCCCGCAGTATCAATGCGTTGACCCAAAGCGACAATGGTGTCTTCGACGCTGACAGGTTTGGGCAGGTGCTCACAGCACTCGACATCCGACTACCCGCCATTCTACGTAGCCAAGCTATAGTGGCCACAGTAAAAGTACTCGGAATCTCTCCAGAAGCTGGACAAGCTGCACTCATGAGATTCATCGCTTCGAGGATTGCAAAACACAGCGATGAGGACTTGATAATCGCGTTCTCGGTTGCCGCCGCTATCTTTCCTGTCGTACCAGCAGTGGCTGCACAATTGTTTCTCACCGAGGGTTTCGTCGAAAGTCTAGTCCCTCTGTTGCAGAGGGGCCCGGTCGCTGCAGACCATGGGTACGTTCATTTCAAGTCTATAGAGGCGGCATTGGTGTTTCGTCTATCGCGTGAGAGGAGGCTGCTACAAGATACACACATTGCAACCGTATTCTGAGTTATGTTCTGATGTGGCTCATACATGGCTTGACGGCCGTGGCCTGTCGCAGCGTACTAACCACACTTCATAGAAACGTTCACACAGTCAGAAAAGCCGTTCTGGAGCTGTTGAGCGCTGCCTGCATGGACAAAGCTTGCCGTGATAGGATCGATAAGTATTGCGCTGAAACCCTTAAAGGCCTTACAAAGAAGACTGCCGATATATCAACGTCAATCTTGGCTGCTCTTGCATTCGTTAAGATTCGTCAGGAGATGTCAAAAGGGCAAAAACCAATGGTCTCTGATGTAGATTTCGATCTCGCCAGGAATTTAGTCCCTCTGTTTACACATTCCGTTCTCAATCCTTCAGACAAGAGCAGTCAGCAGCACGCTATGGAGGGTCTTGCATATCTGTCGTTGCAACCCGACACCAAGGAAGAACTGGCCGACAATACCCAGTTCTTGAAGGGGCTCATGGTGCAGCTGAGCGATCTCACAACCGCAGAGCCTCTTCTCTTTGGTGCCCTGAACATGTTCGTTCACATGACCACCTATCTTCCAACCGTGCCCGAGGATCAAAATCGGCTGAAGTATCGCATCCCACATGCGAACCTACCGAAGACTGCTCATGCAGACCCTGCATATGACAAACGAGTATCAGCTCGATGCCACAAAGTCTTGGAAGCTGGCATTGTTCCACTGCTAGTGCAATTCAGCAAGACGTCTTCCTCGCTAATGCGTCGTCTGATGCTTCAGATATTACTCTCTTTAACTAAGGAACAGAGTCGGCGCAGTACCATGGCCCGGCAAGGTGCCGTGAAACTCGTTCTACAGCTACAGGAAGCTGAGGAAAGACAAACCATAGCAATAGTGGACAACCCTTCTTCCAGAGCTGACCCATCCGCCTACCGCATGGCTGCTCATGTTCTGGCTCGCATTCTGATATCCGTCGATCCCACTCTCGTGTTCTCGGCGACAGCTCCGATAGCTTCTGCCGTACGGCCACTCGTACTCTTGCTTACGGATGACACCGACACCGACTCCGAACGTCGTGATCTGCTCCCCGTCTTCGAAGCTCTCCTTGCTCTTACGAATTTGGCTTCCACAACCGGAAACATCCGCACCGCCATCGTCCGCCTCAGCTGGAGCACGATCGAAGACTTGCTTCTCTCCTCCAACAAGAGGGTGCAGTGTGCCGCTGTTGAGCTCGTCTGTAATCTCATGGAGTCTGCCACCACGGTTGCGCTATATGCGGATGGAAGCAGAGACGCCAAAAACCGAGTGCATGTTCTTTTAGCCCTGGCCGATTCCGAGGATCTAGCTACCAGGCGTGGAGCTGGTGGCGCTCTTGCAACATTAACACAGTACACTGAAGCGGTGACTGCGATACTAGCTACTCAAAGGGGTGTCGAAATCTTGCTGGGCTTATGCGACGACAATGAGAGCGAAGAGCTAAGGCACAGAGGCATTGTGTGTATCATGAACGTGATTACCGCCGAGGGGTCTACTGGCGTGGACGGCATCTTAAAGGTCAAGGGCGCACGTGGAACAGAGACACTGACGCATATGGTGGGGAAGACAAAGGTCCCTGAGATCAAGCAGTTTGGTAAGGAGGCATTGAAGACGCTTCAGTAAACATGCCGGTCTCAACGATGTTTCGAATTGCTATTAGCGAGCTTCTGGTGACGCAGGTAAGCTACGGGAGCAGTTGCCTGTGGGCATTGAAGAGTTTCTCTACCAATCACCGGGCCGTTGCGCCCTTCCGTATCGGTTCACCTTTACTGCGGCTGGGCCGAAGCTCTACCTCTGCGGCATCTGATATCTGACATTCGAACAACGGAGTTTTTTAGCCTCAGCAGATTTGCCGCATGTCACTCGAAGATAGCGTGTTACAAGAAAGACTGCGAATGAAAGAAGTCGATCCGACAAGGATGTTAGCATCAAATCCTTCCATCATCGCACACTACCTTAGGGCAAACCTTGGTCACGGTCTATCTCAGGACGAGGCATGACCATCTGTGTCTCCTCAATGTCAGAAGAGGGCAGCAGGAACGAGAGCATGTAATAGCGGGCAAAAGACCAAGCACATGTTCGATGCCTGATGAAATTTTGTTGATCAGATGCTTACACATAGTCATCAAGCCAGCTTCCCAGGCACGAACGGGTGACCAGCAGTCAAACCACCGCAAACAGCCCACGCCTGCCCATTGACATAGCTCGCCTCATCGCTGCCCAGAAACAGCGCCACTCTCGCAATCTCATCAGCCACACCACCCCTCTGCAGCGGATTCAGCTGTCCAATCTTCCTTTCCGTGCCCCTCGACCTCGCCATCTCGTACACCTTGCTCGTCATGCCCGTCTCGATGATGCCAGGGCACACGGCGTTGCAGCGGATGCCGGTGCCCGCGAGCTGGTAGGCGCACGTCTGCATCATAGAGATGACAGCGGCTTTGCTGGCGCTGTAGTCGGTCGGTCCGGCGTTGGACCTCATGCCGGCGGCCGAGGCGGTCGCGATGATGGAGCCGGAAGGGTAAGGTTTGGCGTCGCTGGTCTTGAGCACGGCTTTCGAGGCGTGCTTGGCTGCGAGGAAGACGCTGTGCGCTCGTTGTCAGCAAGACTAGCTGCCGAATGCTGGGGACCTCCAGCTCATACCTCAGCGCGTTCACCTTCATCGTCTGCATGAAGTCGTCGGCCGAAGCATCGTAGAACCGCTGCTGGCTGATGTTTATACCGGCGTTCGCGAAAAACACGTCAAGCCGCCCGTATTTCTCCAGTGCCTCCCTTACAACCTGCTCTATCGAACTCTCATCCGAGGCGTCGAACTGCCGAGCGTGTATGTCGACACTCGGGTATAGTGATCCTAGCTCTCTCTTGTGCACTTGGAGGTATTGGTCCGCGAAGTCGCAGATGAAGACCGCTCGTGCCCCGCTGCCAGCGAAGAGGTGTGCGCTTGCGCGGCCGATGCCTGAGGGGGAATTTGCTCCTGATGTTTCTTAGTCATTGCGCCAGCGTTTCGTTTGGAAGATTTGCGAACCCGTTATGATCACTACTTTGCCCTTCACTCGTCTGGTCGATGGTCAGTATAGACACGTCGGACAGGTGATTGTTGTACTTGCTGCCCTGCGGGATCGCCAGCGATCTTCCTTATTCTTGGGATGTCCTCAAACGTGCCCGGGTCCTCCGCTGGCTTCGCGAGCTGCTCGCTGAGCTGCTGTAACCGTTGTTTCGGTAGAGAGGACATGATGGAGGGGGTGTGACAAGCCAAAGTGCGTGCAATGTAGGTGACTTCGGATAGCAGCGGTACGGGAAACTGTCTCGACAGAGGGGACCGAGTGAAATGCGATTTGTTGGAGTGTTACTGTAGTCAAGCTGATGTTGAGGGGCCGGCGATGTTCAGAAATCCGGGGTAAGTTGCCGAGGCACGACTAACCGAAGCGAACACAAAATGCTATGACGTGGGCCTCAAGCTATACTCTTCACGTAAAGACGTTTGTTTGAGGGACACAGCCTCTGATGCAATCTAATAGCATGATATTATAGCTGGTGTCGCTATGCTCCGCTACACAGAACCGCGAGTGTTACCCGAACTGAGCCTCTCGAACTCAAGGATTCGACCGTCCAGCAAATCTTCTGGCAGACAGATCTAGAGATTATAAACATTCCATGCAAAATTGGAGTTTGTCGAGGCGAGGTGGCCGAGTGGTTATGGCGCTACGTTTAGGTCATTCTAAACCCGTTGTTCGAAAGAGCGTGGGTTCGATCCCCACCCTCGTCAACAAGCACCTTATCTTTTGCATCTATCCCAGCATATGGCCCGTGACTGTTGATGCCTTGTGCAATGCGAAGGGTGCTGATGCGCAATTGTGCAAGCGGTGGTCGTAAGAGGCGAGCGATCCTCAGCCCGTTTTGACCTCGTGCTTTGAGGTTTCTGGATCAAGTCTCTGCTTTGGGAGAAGTGAGAAGCCTCAGCCGAAAGAGCAAACTCTCTCAGCAGCCTTGATTATGGAGCGTCGTATCAGACCATACTCATGCACGTACTGTCAATTGTCTACATTACACTGAGGTCACAAACACTTTGAACTGTGTGTTGACGCGGCCGTAAGCATGGATGAAGTACAGTGGATTGCAAGGAAGCCATCCAATCTGCTCTTGGAGAGGAAAGGTTTGCCGTCATTCGACATTTTCAGATACGCAGAAGTGCAGAACTGTTTGGCAAAAGCGAAAAGAGGCCGCATATCCTGCTCCTCAATCGCGATCCCATAGAGCTAACACTCTGTGCCCTTGCTCTGCACGCGCCCGTAAATCTATCAGTGGTGTGCTGGAGACACTGACACCCCGAAACGCACAGCATCGACGCTTAGCGGAGCGACCCTCCAGCTTCTACGATCTGAAATGGAAAATAGGACGATGTTGTCGTCTATCGCAATGATCGCTGAGGCGCGAGGAGACCTCGGTAGAAACGCAGCGACGGTCAACGCATCGCAGGATGGTGATCGGTACTCTCGAGCATCCACACGACGGACAGCTTCCATTGCGTCGGTGTGCGGCTGTGCGATCCGAATGTGGCGTGGCTGGAGTAGACACTGGCCGGAGGAGGGCTTTGATGTGTTGCTCCGCCCGCTTGATTGACTGCTCGAAATCTGAAGGGATTCTGGATAGCGGTATGGTGCAATCACGGCTTCTTGCATAGCTGTGCTAGCGGTGCATCCGGGGTGTAATTTGCGCCTCGTGATCCTCGGCGGCCGAAGACGCTCGTGTGTCGTCAAGCATATGTGCGCCATAGCAGCGGGCGATAAGTAGTACGACGACAATTTATATGATGTGGTGCCATCCGAACACAGTTCCACTATGGGTGTCTCTTCCTCAGCGAAAGTCCTCGCAGCCTGGACTTCATTGGTGACGTCGTCGGACTGGTTGGGCTAGGGCTAGGGCTCGAGGACATCTTGCTGCTGCTCGAGCTGTCGGACGAAGAGCGTCGTCGAGTCTCTTCTAGGATGTCTTCAAGAGTGACATTGGCTTCTGGAAAGGAGGGCTGTGCGGCGTTGTCGAGGACTTCGATGAATTTGGAGGCAGTCATGGTGACGAGATTTGAGGGGGTTGGCGAGAGCGTGTGATAAGGTATGCTCCGAGGAACAAACAAGCGACTGAGCGGTGAGGACACGGATGTTTTGTGGTGTTAGATGGTCAGTGAGCTGGTGTACGAGACGGAGAGTTTTCAGGAGTGGAAGTTGGACGGACAGGCAAGCAGCTTTGTACAAACATCCACACACCCCCGAGCACGGCACGCTATGTCCCTTTCGTCGTCGTCCACAGTCCACACAAGACCCTCCCGCGTCGTCAGGCCATGTCGCCCCACCTGCCAGGCTTCCGGCGCAGCCACGAGGGTGCCGCAGTGCCGCAGTTCCCAGTCGGGTAGCATCTCCAGCCGGACTCGGGCTCGAGCAGACGCGAAGCCAGCGAGACAGGGCGAGGCGCGCGAAGAGGGTGTGGTGGAAGGGTGCGAAGACGCGGGCGGATGACGGAGACGGCGTCGATCGGCCGAATGCAAAGGTCGCGTGCCCCTGCGAACTCGCTGTCTCGCTATTTTAGCCCGACAGCCTCGCGTGCTGCCCGACGACGTTTTAGTGAAAACCCTCGATTACGGAGTGTTTCCCGACAGAAGCGGCGCCTCGTATTCGCGGTCTAGAACAGTGGCCCCGGTGGTACCTTGTGTTTGAGGCGTGGCTGTGCGGCGATGACGACAACAACAACAACAACAACAACAGAGAAACGACAACAAGGAAAGCGTTCGTGGCCAGTAAACTCGTCACAACCGAGCTGACCCGCAACATGAAACTGCTTTCCCCTGGGAGTCTTCGAACATCGACAGGCGTAGAACGATGTTGCCCTAGATAGGGTTGCCTAGACCAAGCGGTACATTCCACCCGAGAAAAATCCGTGGGAGGGAGTTATTCACCCAGCAGTCTGACGCTGCGGGTGAATAACGTATGTCAAGCAAAACAGCTGTCCTCGTGTCCGTACGGGAAGGACAAGTCGCGTGTGCACTCCAGGTTCTCACTCAATGGTACCTTGTACCTGAGACGCAAGCCACCTGACTGTGCCGCGACGTAGGCGTGGCATGTTTCGTACCTTGGTCGTGCGTACTCACTGGTCTGCGCCTTGAGATATAGTGGTATGATAGGGCGTCTCGATGACTATTATTCCAGAACTATTTCAGGGTTCAGTGGCAGGATTCAGTGGAAGACCTGAGTTGGTCGAAGGCTAGACGGCTGTGTTAGAGCTGACCGATAGAGCAGTCAATCGAACAGATCTGGCTGCGTGAGAGAAAGCGGTACTTCGTAGGACATCATAGGATATTGTGAGCACCGACGGTACTCTTACCTCTCCCTGTTCGCTCCCGATGGAACATGTATGGAACGGTTACAGTATGGGTTGATCTCGGGACATATTGGCTTCACTCTCAACCTCACTGTGTCGCCTAACCTAGGTATTTGATCGCACATTTTGGGTGCTGCCCAGGCTTGCGTGTTCTCATACCGGCCCACAATTATGTCAAGAGAGAGGGCTTTCCGCGGCCAATACACAAAACTCTGCAGCAAGCAAAACCGTGCAGCATGCAGAGCTTGGTCGCCAGTCACCCATGTAAACCATGATGTTTGTTATGTGCCGTACTGCCTCAATCGGGTCACAGACACGCACATGCACGGCTACAAATCAGATCCGTAGCTTCCCTCCACCTTCACCCGGTGGCATGACATGGCCTTTTATGCTTCTTGTGGAGCTACTGGGCTGGCACGGCTGGGAACACGGGAAGGTCCGCCAGAACCAATCCTCCGACTGTTGACCTTTTTGAGACACAGCTTCTGATAGCGTGTCTTGGATAATGCCAAACAGATATTGACATCCGATATGCACTGATGCAGATTCACCGAAGTCTCGTGTTTTATGCTGCGATCGCTCTGCTGTGGTGTGATCTGAGCTGAGGCATAGTGGTTGAAGTAGGCTTGCATCTTGGCTGGTTGCAACCCTTCGAGCAAACGCTTATAGCAAGACGTGCATGAATGGTAGCAGCACCCGTCTCTCGGTCCTGTCCAGCACTGCAGTTCCGTGCTGGATATCGAGTGTGCCAATATATCGAACTTTCTGGGTCTTGGGCTAGCACTACTTTTCCGAACGCTGCCTGATGACAGCTGAGACCGTTTGACAAACGAACGGACGATACTGACGTGACTCCCCCTAGACCACCTCAAAACCGTGCGCGTCCACGTCCGCGTCCACGGCTTCGTCCGTGACCCCTATCTCCTCCTCCCCCTCCTCCTCCTCTCCCACCTCTCCCACGTCCAAATCCACCACGAGAGTGGCCTCTTCCTCCTCTGCTAGATTCGCCATGCATCGGCTCGTCCGGCTTTGGACCAGCCAGCGTCCTAGCCAGAATGTCTTCTTCCTCCGCGTGGAAGCAGTTAGGCATGTGCAACAGCTTGCAGAAAGCCCTCGTTTGGTTGTTGCTGTACTCTCTGGGCTGGCCCTGGATGTTCTGGATCCCGAGCGTTGCGTCGTAGACTGGAGCCGTGATTTCAAAGTTCTCTGGAACGACCATTTTACCGGTCTTTACGAGGTGCTCTTCTACCCACAACTCGTCTCGGTGTATCAGGCGCCGGTAAAATGCCTCACCTTCATCTTTCCCAACGATGCAATTGGCGTCATCAAGATGGCCGAAGCAACGAGTGATCGCTAACCATTCTTTGTCATGTTCTAAACAGATGGGACCCGGCTCCGAGGGCGCCTCAGAGATGGGGTCGACATCGAGAATTTGAAGGAAGTGTCGATTCGGTAGACACTTGTCCAACGCCAGAAATTTCGTCACTCTGTTCGTGATATCTGGAGGTGGATCTAGCTTTGGTGCTTCTGCTCTTGCGGCAGGTCTTACGAATGACTCTGGTAATAGCGCCCTGAGTGCATTCGAAACTCCAGATGCTGGCTCTGTTGGAGTAACAGCTGGTGCATCGACGTGAGTATCGTCATTGAGCGGTACTTTTACACTATCCAGATCTTGTCCTGCAGCTACTATAGCTACGCCCGTGTCGTCAGCGCCCTCGTCTAGCTCAAGGTCAATCTCATCAGCGTTCGCAGCGAGCGTCGTGCCCTTCTCGTTCTCTGGTGGATCCGGTTCATCATCGTCAAGATCAAGCTCTAGTTCGTCTGCGTTCTTGGTTGGCTGCGCAGAGCTCGGGCCCGCTTCTGATTCAATGACTGGAAGATTTGATATAGAATTACTCTGTCCCGGTTGTTCAGACACTGGAATGCTATTCGCAAGAATTAGTGGTCCCTGCGATGCAACTTGTTTATCATGTTGAACGACTGCCGAGAACTTGCAATGCAAGTGTGCACTGAACCAGTACGTGGGCTTCAGCCTGTCCATGACTAGTTTCGCAGCCACGCTTCCCAAGCTGCCGTTCCTCGCGTCAGCTTCAAAGTGACTTTTCATTCTGAACAAGGTCTTCCAATCGCCCATCCATTCAACTCCCTTGGGCCAGTCGTGGCTAATCCCAATGTCGATCTGAGATCTCACTTGCACGAGTTTCCTTTTGTCTATCTCACGAACGTGGTAGATGCTCTTCACGTCGCTTTGGTTGTAAGGCAGTCTCTCATGATGCACCTTGCGGTAATTGTAGCCCTTCCATATGCCACTGAGGCCTGCAATGCGCAGGGGACCTACTCGGACGATGTTGGCAGCGCCTAGGTAATAGATGTTGGGTGCCACCCAGCCGCCGTAGT